GGGAGGAAAATTTCTAAGGTGAAAAATGGCAATTACCCATCCCTCCAAAACTAACTTTTGTTATAATTCACAAAGTGACCAAAAAAAGCAGCATAGACCCTATTGTTTTCTTCTATAGGTCATATTTACCAGAAAAATGATAAATAACTGTTCCCCACTTTTCAGTCTCAGCTGTACCCAGGGCTAAATTCCATTGCCAAATTGCGTTCACTGGAATTTATCTCCTCTATTCTTTGTTTACTCAGGTTAAATAAATGCCAATTCTCCAGCCTATATCTACACCAGGAGTATTTAAGGAATACTTGTCTAATCTTTCATCCAAGTATTCCTAGTGCAGATACAACATTACGGGCAAAGCTACAGTTTGTACTAGCATAGTAAAAGCACCACCAATGAGTCAAACAAGCTAGACTGGTGAAAATACAGTTTTGCCAGTATAACTGCATTTACAGTGGAGGGGGGGTTGTGTTGATGACCAGGGAGTGCCCCTGATAAACACACATGCTGGCAGAAGTCTGGAGTGTTGATTTGGCTTTAGTCTTTACTGGTACAGGAAAATTGTCTAATTGAATGCTGTCTTATGGGAAATCCTCATGTGTTCCAACACTTCATTCTACAGGAATCCTAGCAGAAAAACTAATTTCCATTAACCTTCTCAAATCCAAACTTTTCTCCTTCCACTAAATACATTAGAGAGGAAAGCTTTTTCTCAAACCTCCCAGGCAAAACTCTGCCATCAACAGAAAGAAAACACATTCACCTGGCCACTCTGATTCCAGCTCTGCACTGAGAGTCTGCTTCTGCTTACTGCTAAATATCCTCCGCTCCCCCTGCCTTCAGGATCAGGCCCAGAGGGCAAAAGGATTCCCCACTCTAACGACTTGAGGAATACAGCATTCAGCCTCCAAGGCTCTGTTTCAGAGCTTAGTTTGTGCAAGTGTTTGCTAGGGCTAAGCCCCAGAACTTCACGGCTCTGGCACCCCTGGGCTTGGTGCATCTGTTTTTAATTTGCTTGAGTGCTGGTGCTTCTTTCACTGCAAATTAGGAAATGAGATGTTTACCCAGAGGAAGTGGGAGGCGTGACTCCTTCCTCATGTAGATATACACTTGCTAGTGCCACCACTATGCTCAAAATGGCAGCATGGTCATTGTGGCATTGGCAGTGGTTCAGGCTAGCCACCCAAGTCTGTGTTGGAGGCTTGGGCGGGATTGTTCACAGATAGCTACCTATAGCCCCAGCCTGTGCTTCCAGGGCCATGCTGCTAGTTTTAGTGCACTAATGGGAGCAGGGCTAAGTCACGTCTGTGTATCCATGCTGGGAATTGCCTCTTCCCTTCCTCCCCCCCTCCCCCACAACGCTAGCTGCTGTGTACACATATCCTAATTGGCTACACTTCACCACAGTTCCAGCCAACTGGCAAACTGCACAAGTCTGGCAAGCCAGCTCTTGAATAATCTTCTGGATAGTGATGCAAGTTGAGAGCTGTGAAGGGTTTATCTGCATAAGGAATTTTACTGGCACAATTTCATTGACATAATTATACCAGTAAAATCCCCACGGAGACAGGCCCTTGCAATTTCAGTCCTAGGTTCTCCCTTGTGGCAAGGCTGCTCTGTGCAATGCTGCCTTTAAGACACAACAGAAGCACACCAACATAAACTAGTGAAGGGCTGATGTCATGGCTTAAAGCCACATTTGGGCCCTGTTCTGCTGAGATTTCCTATGATCAGAATGGTTTAGGCCTTGTCCGTGGATGTAGCTGCACAATTTTTGGGAATAAGAGAACCGATGCTAGTGCAAGACACACACCAGTACAGTGTGTCTACATTAAAAATTTGCTGGGTGTAATTATATTAGTCCCAAAACCTCCAGTATTGATGGGGTCTGAGACGAAAAAAACAAGGTATAAAATTCAGAGATGAGGTAAATGTTGATGCAGATTATGATAGTAAGTGGATGTAAATGGCTTTAAGTTAGTGTCATTTACATACTGAAAGCCCAGTAACTCTCACTTACATAGTATAATTCCCATTGAAGTCAGTAGGAGTGGCACATTATAACTGAAGGCAGAATTGGGCTCAACAAGACTAGAAAGCAGGTTCAGCTAGTAGAGTTCAAGGTAGCACTCCTATTAGTAGGTCTTCCTGCTGTTCCCCGTTCTGACCCACTGGTTGGGGGTGTGTGTGTGTGTGTGTGTGTGTGTGTGTGTGTGAACACCACATTCCATCAATTTACCCTTCCACATCTGCTTTTATCAAATTACCAGTCTGTCATTTACACTGCCACTTAATGACCTCTGAATTTGGCCCTAGAACTATTTTTGCTGCACAAGCCCCCACCGATTGTTTTCACATGTCCAGTTAATTAAAGCATAATATCCCCATAATTTGCACAGATCATTAACTCAGATACCACAAAGCCTTATGATGACCTGTTTTCTTCCAATATACTAGATCACTCCTTTGTAATCCCACTGGGATGTGTCTGCCTAGACAGAGGTGCTTATATCCTAGATGCTTTGTGGAGGTCTGAGAAAGTTGTGAATTTGGTTTGTGTTTCTAGTTAAGCACCTTACTCTGTGCTACAAAGTTAGGTCGACATTAGTTATCTTGCATTCAAATTTGTCTGTGTCTGACATAATATCTCATTACACGGATGCTGTAAAACCATGGCCCTGAGTGGCACAAAACCATGATCGACCTTCTGAAGTCAATGCTGCGCTAGTATATAAACTCCGTGACCTGTGTCTATTGCAATGGTCCTTCAGAAGCTGTCCCACAATGCCCTATTCCTTGCGACCATGATTGCTGTGGTCATAATTGTAAATTCTGCTGCCCTGTAGTCACTGGGACCAGAAGCTCCTCCTCTCCCTACCCCACATGAGAGCTCTGTGTAGGTTTTTAAAATATCTTTTCTTGATTGCCCACCATGGCAAGCACACCTAGTAGCTCACCCTTGTGTGCAACTGCTCACTCAGACATGTCAGCGAACAGGGAAGCCATGTCAGCGAACAGGGAATGGTGTTTATTCCCTTTCTACCATTGCCTTTCACAGAATTCCCAACGAGGTGAAAGAGCTCACCCTAATGAAGTCTCTCTTCCCTGCATAATTCAAAGTTCATTTTGCAAGGACCCAATCTTGCCCCATGCATGTGAAGTCGCTGTTTGAAGACAGGCTATTAGTTCAGTCAAAAACTACCAAGCATTAGCAACTTTCATGTCCTCCTGTGCAAACTACAGGTCCATTTAATCTTGTCTATTTTGAACCTAGAGTCATTTTTGCTTAATTCATCCTTTCAAATACAGAATCTCTTGAAGCTCCTTTGTTCCAGCGTTGCTAGTTTGTTCTCCACTAACCAGAATCTCTTAAACATGTTCACTGGAGTACTGATTAGAGCTGACTGGAAACAGTTTCCTAGTCTTTCAAAAATGTTGAGATTTCCAACATTTTTCCTAATCTGCACTGGCACAAAACTGAGATTTCAAAATTTGCCACAATCACAAATTCCATCCTGGACCAGAGAAACTTGCATTGAATCAAATAGATTTCTGTAAAAAGGTTTGGTTTCAGTGAATCGGCATTTGGTTGAAAAACAACATTTTGTTAAAAAATCCCTCAGCAGCTTTAGTACATGATGCTGCTTAGGTCAACCAAATGTGGTTGTTGGAAGGCAATCTTAAGTACTCCCTCATCACATTCACAGAAAGTAATCCTCATCCCTAGCAGTTTTAGGATCTTGACTCCTGTGGGAAAATGTTGTACTGCTATTATTAATTAGATGGTGGTAGTGCTTAGGAGTCCACTCATAGACCAGGATCACATTGTTTTAACTACTGTACAAACAGACTATAAAGATGGCTCATACCTCAGAGAGCTTATCTCTGGGCAGCTAAAATAATGAACAGATGTTGAGCTGGGGTAGGTCTGTTGAAGTGAATGGCACTATGCCAGATTAGCCAGATGGGGAGCTAATCCTGAACTTTTGTTTTATGCATTGAAAAGTCATTAAAGCTATTTTTGATGTAGTGGTGTACCTTGCCCGTTAGCTAATTTCAGCACATCAGGGCTTCCCTGACTCTTGGTTTCGGTATGATGACATGTCTAACATTGCAATGTTCCTTGTCTTGTGCAGTATGAAACTAATATACCAAACTTTGTGACAAGTTACCCCAGAGACCCTTTCAATTTAAAGTTCAAGTCTCAGCATTTAAACATAGGTAAGTGTTTGCTATTGTGCAAATGTGTGGTACTGTAGAAGTTAGCTATTGATGTGGTGAATTCAGGGGGGGTAGGGATAATTTTGAGGTAACTGACCTTAGGGCAGGTTTAAGGGGTCTAAAATGAAGCATGATGCACTGAAAATCAATATGTCTGGATAACTAGTATATAAAATCAAGTTTATTTCCCTTGTTAACATGGGATTTGTGTCTCAGACCTGGCTCATGCACATCATCAGATTGTCTCAGAATACCTTAAGAAGCAGGATTGGGTCCTATAGCACTGGATGAGCACCATGGGGTAGCATGCAAGCATGAAAGTGACAGCAAATTGCTGGAGAAATTGCTTCTAAACATAGATTTACTGTAACCAGCCATTCCTGAGTCAGCTGTCACTGTTAGATTGTGCCTGGCCCTTTTGAATGTGTGGCTGGGGGGAGAGCACAAGGGATCTTCCAATCACACACATGGCTTGCAGGACAGGCTCAATTGCAATCCCTGTGCCTGGAGGAAAAAGGGACTGATCCATCTCCACCACAGTGTAGGGGTATCCACAATCCCAAAGCGCATTGAGGAAACAGGGCCAGACCTCTCCGCTCCTCAACCATAGCCCTCCCAATGAGGCTTATGTAGGGGGTGCAAAGTATGCTCGCCTGCATGCGGGAAAATTCAGGGAGAAGTTCCCCAACAGCAATGCAGCTCTACTGCACCTCTGGAGATTTGAGCTCAGGGTACACACTCTTCCTTATGCGCACTGCTCAGAGTTAGTTTGTGGTTTCTTATGTTAAGCAGATGGAGCAAGGGAAAAGTGCTCTTACTGTAAATGCTATAGCTCTCAAGTCCCATATTTCTGGTCAACAATTGCACAATAGTTCTGACCACTCTCTATATATGCTATTTCCGTAAAACATGAATATCAACGACCATTTACAGCAAAGGGATGGGCAGGGAGTTCACAAGGGTTATGCATTTTTCACATATTCCTCTTTCTGGGACTGTCTTCCAAACTTCCATCTGCTGACAGCTCTCCAAACCCCAATGATTCTAGAGTTCCTGGGGATAGCAATGTAGGATATAACTCCAGAGCACTGACGGCCTGTTTTACAGCTACTCCTATGTTGTTTACTACTTCAGTGTGTGGACTTCAGCCACTGACAGAGAAGCAAATGGATCCCAAGGGGAGATTTGTTACGTACAAGCCTCGTGAATGCAAATGGGAATCCAGGCTAATTCTACCAAAGACCCCTTGGCCACCTAAGTCTGCTTCATTTACGGTTAGTTGTATTCTAAGCCAAGCTTATTGCCACTCTGTTGTACTCCAGTGGGCTGCAGATCAAGTCGCTAGGGATTCTGGGAGGTTTTGATGCAGCTAATGAGGGCACCAGTCTACTGGGGAGTATAGGAGACTCAGTAGATGGTTGGTCTGGTTCTCTCCCGACTCTTGTTGTAGTTTGTACCTGGAGGCAAGGGGGACTCCCACTGATTGTGATGGGACTTGGGAGGATATTACAGTTACCTAGTGATTGCTTTGCAAATTAAGCCCTTATTGTTAAAGTCTACATCACAGCACACAGCAGTGACACATACCCTCATAGCTTTAAACTGCCAGGGGATTGTGTGGAAGTTCATTGCTGGGTGAGAGAGGAAGAATCATATTCCTGGTGCAAGACACTGGTGATTTCCAAAGGTGTGGGGGAGGGAATGATGTCGGAATGGCTTACAAACACAAACCAAGCCCATCAAGCTAAAATGTCCTCTACATCTGTTCCCAGCGCATGCACTTAACTCCCATTAATGTTAATGGAGTCTATATTGAACACGGATATTGTATGGGTAGCAGATGGATGAATTTGTCTCCTTGTGTAATGAGGAGAAACATTAAATCAAGGGTCAGCATCCTTTGGCTCATGGCCCATCAGGGCAATCTGCTGGTAGGCTGCAAAACAGTTTGTTTTCATTGAACACCTGCAGGCATTGCCCCCCACAGCTCTCATTGGCCAAGAACGGTGAACCGCAGCCAGTGGGAGCTTGTGGGGGGCATGCCTGGGGATGCTCAATGTAAACAAACTGTCTCGCTGCCTGCCAGCGGATGATGGGCCATGACCCCTGCATTAGATCATCTGTACCTAATCTACTTGCAGCAATTCTTTTGCTAATTAGAAGTATTACTTGTAATATTTGCACAGGCAAGTAAAGTGATTGCACATGCACGTGTGCCTCAATAAACATTTGCATGTCCTATTCCCAGATTCGACGTGTAAGTATGTCTGAGTTTCTGGTTCTTTAACCCTCCTGTCAAAGACAAGGAGAGTCTCATGCCCTGAGAGTTGTTGAATGGCTCTAATTTATCTTTCGTGTTCTATTCCCAGAGGCACAGAAAGCGACGTGATGCCTACACAGCATTCCTAGATCGTGTGGATGAAAAGCAGCGGACAACATTGCAGGAGGAAGTAGGTGGTGATGTTGTAGTGTTCTCTATGGAGCAGACCTGGTGTTTCCTTAGGGCCACATGATGGTTGCTTGTGCAGGGGAGAGCGAGGATATATTTACTTCTCATGAACTCAAGGGGAAAAGGGATCATGCTATGCCTCCACAGGGGGAGTGGCTGGCTAGAGTGAAGGGAGGTTAAACACAAACATAAACCCTGCCTGGGGGATGGAGAAGAGAGCTGCCAAAGTCTTCAGGTGTTCCCTTTAGGATGTGGGACGTGCTCAGATCCGATGGAGCCCAATACAGTGGCAGTACCTGAACTGATACCAATAGCTCTCTGCGTGCTGGCAGAGAAAAGGAGCAGCAAGGGCCATGGGTGACAGAGCTCCTTATAATACTCTAGGGCTAAGTCTACACTGGCAGCTTCTTGCACAAGAACTCTTCTGCGGAAGAGTTTGTGTGCAAAAAGTCTTCCACAAGAGCATGTGCTTTTGCACAAGAGCATCCATGGCAGTGTGGATGCTCTCTTGCACAAGACAACTCTGATGGCCATTTTAACCATAGGGGCTTCTTGTGCAAGAAATTCATGTTGCCTGTCTATACTGTCCTCTTGTAGAAGAGCTCTTGTAGAAGAGCTCTTGTGCAAGAGAGCTTATTCCTTGTGGGAAGAAGCCCAGTTTTACAACTCTACACTGCAAATTTACTTGCGCAAGAACGCTCATGCAGTGTAGACAGCCGGCAAGTTTTTGCGCAAGAACAGTTGTTCTTGCGCAAGAAGCTGCCAGTGTAGACGTGGCCTAGGAGAATGGGACATTATGCCTGTTCCTGTCCTACACAGGCATGCTGCCTCCATCCGTTAACATGCAGACAGTGCACTCTTCCCCTCTTGGAGCAGCTCTCAGATCTATAACTGCGCTGTTAAAAAGCAGGACTGAGACACATGCTGATTAAAGATTCACCTTCTGCCAGATTGCATGCTTTTATTTCTAGCCAGGGTGTGATTCAGAAGAGCAGCTGTTGGTGATGAGGGATCTGCTGAAATGAATTTTGCTTATCCTTGCAGTCCAAATTGAAAGTGGGGATCAAAATCTAAACACAAGGGCATCTTTTATATCCTAAAATACTGGCAGGTGATACTTTAAATAGAGGGCATCTTTCTCATGGAAAGTTTAGTGTTTTTATCAGATGTTGGTTTTGTGATTAACATAATTAAAATAATTTTGTATTCTGTATTTGGGTGTAAATTCACCTGAATGCTGAGGTCTTACAAAGTGCATAAAGCTGTAGCTTACCCCAGTGGAGAGAAGTGAAATTCACCCTGATGTACTAGCATATTTGCCCTTACAATCTCTCAGTGCCAGGGCCACTGTAGCGTAGTGCTCTGCTGAATAAAGTGTTAGAAAGGCTGCTGGGAACCATCTTGCTGGCGCTGCTCACCACCGTCTCAGTGCTTCAGTGATTCTCTTAAGTGCCCTGGAGTTGTACATTTTTGTCCTGATCAGTTAGTGCAGCATCACAACACTTAAAAATAAATTCTCAAGAGTTTTCTCCGATGCTTCTCCTGTTGTGTTCCCAGTCTGTGGACCTTTTCAGGAGTCCTCTCCAACTTATAACAAGCCACCTCTATTCAGCTGCCCATTTTGGCAGGTTGGTCCCTTTTTAAAGCTCTGTCCCATCCATCCTGACTCTTGTATTCAAAAGGAGGCATTTGTCCCATTTGCTTTTGCTGATGTGATCAGTTGGCAAGAGCAAAAGGGACAAATGCCCACTTTTGTCAAAAAAGGCATGATGGGGAGGAATGTGGTGTAGAGCGGTGACCAGAGATGCCAGCCCCTCACCAGTGAGGAAGGAGAGCTGGCAGGGAGGGGGAGACACTGAGGGGCCCCCACAGGATTCCAGCAATGGACAACAGCCTTATGTTTGGGGCGGGGGCACTACTGGAACATTACGGTTTTGAGCAACAGCCTTATGAGAGGAGCAGAGGGTGTCCTCTTTTCTCATTGGAAAATATGCCCATCCTAGGTAAGCCCAGGGCTGGCTTGAGCCATTCCTGCACCCTGGCAGCGGGCGTGCGACGCATGTGTGGCTCCGCCCCTGGGCACACAGCACATGCATGGCTGCGCCCCTCGGCACGCTGCACACCTTACAGCTGCAATTGGGTGCACGGCACCTGATTGCAGCTCTAAGGGGCGCCACGCGGCCCTTGGCCCTGGGCGCACAGCGCCAGATGTCAGCTCTAAGGGACGCCACGTGGCCACCAGCCCTGGGCGCACGGCGCCTGATGGCAGATCTAAGGGGCACCACGCGACATCCCTTACAGCTGCCATCAAGTGCCCCCATAGGTTGATACCCCGGGCAGCTGCCCAGCTGGCACCCCCCTTAATTCAGCCCTGGGTAAGCCCCCCCCCTTGAGAAACAGAACATTCCAACAAATGTAGATACATTGACTGTAGAGCTTACGTTTCCCACATAGCTGTGATCATTTAACATTTCAAAAGCAAATTTTTGATCTCTCAGCAGGTACAATCTTAGAATCATAAAAATAATGTTGGACTGGAAGGGACCTCAGTAGGTCATCTAGTCCAGACCCCTGCACTGAGGTTGGACAAAGTATTATTTAGATCATCCCTGAGAGTTGTTTGTCGAACACAAACATGGGGTTAACAAATATGCAGACAAGGGGGATCCAGTAGATCTAGTATACTTAGATTTTCAGAAAGCCTTTGACAAGGTCCCTCACCAAAGGCTCTTGAGTAATTTACATTGCCATGGGATAAGAGGGAAGGTCCTTTCATGGATTCAGAACTGGTTAAAAGACAGGAAACAAAGGATAGGAATAAATGGTAAATTTTCAGAATGGAGAGGGGTAATTAGTGGTGCCCCCAAGGGTCAGTCCTGGGACCAATCCTGTTTAACTTACTCATAAATGATCTGGAGAAAGGGGTAAGCAGTGAGGTGGTTAAGTTTGCAGATGATACTAAACTGTTTAAGATAGTCAAGACAGAAGCAGACTGTGAAGAACTTCAAAAAGATCTCACGAAACTGAGTGATTAGGCAAGAAAATGGTAAATGAAATTTAATGTGGATAAGTATAAAGCAATGCACTTTAGAAAAAATAACCCCAACTATACGTACAGTATGATGGGGGCTAATTTGGCTATGACAAATCAGGAAAGATCTTGGAGTTATCGTGGAAAGTTCTCTGAAAATTTCCACGCAGTGTGCAGCGGCGGTCAAAAAGGCAAATAGGATGCTAGGAATTAAGAAAGGGATAGAAAATACGATACAGAATATCTTACTGCCCCTGTATATAACTATGGTACACCCACATCTTGAATACTGTGTACAGATGTGGTCTCCTCACCTCAAAAAAGATATGTTGGCCTTGGAAAGGGTTTAGAAAAGGGCAACTAAAATGATTAGGGGTTTGGAACGGGTCCCATATGAAGAGAGGCTAAAGCGACTGGGACTTTTCAATTTAGAAAAGAGGAGACTAAGGGGGGATATAATAGAGGTATATAAAATCATGAGTGGTGTGGAGAGGGCTGATAAAGAAAAGTTATTTATTAGTTCCCTAAATAGAAGAACTAGAGGACACCAAATGAAATTAATGGGTAGCAGGTTTAAAACTAATAAAAGAAAGTTCTTCTTCACACAGCATGTAGTCAACCCGTGGAACTCCTTGCCAGAGGAGGCTGTGAAGGCTAGGACTATAACAGAGTTTAAAGAGAAGCTAGATAATTTCATGGTTAGGTCCCTAAAAGACTATTAGCCAGGGGATAGAAATGGTGTCCCTGGCCTCTGTTTGTCAGAGGTTGGAGAGGGATGGCAGGAGACAAATCGCTTGATCATTGTCTTTGGTCCACCCTCTCTGGGGCATCTGGTGCTGGCCACTGTCAGCAGACAGGCTACTGGGCTAGATGGACCTTTGGTCTGACCCAGTACGGCCATTCTTATGTTATGTTCTAACCTCTAAGGACAGAGATTCCACAACCTCCTTAGGTAACTAGCTCCAGTGCTTAACAACCATGACCAAAGCTTTTCCCTGGTGTCTAACCTTCATCTTCCTTGCTGCAATTTAAGCCCATTATTTCTTATCCTTTCTTCAGGGGATAAGGAAAACAATTTATCACACTCTTTTCAACAGACTTTTATGTGCTTAATGTATGTCCCATCTTAGTTTTCTCTTCTCCAGATTAAACAATTATGTTTCACTTTTTT